AAACCTACTTCAACTGATATTGAACGAGTATTCTCAATTTGCACTAATTTCTGTACTAAAATCCGCTCGCGTTTATCCGATAAGTCGTTGAGTGCCTTAGTTTTCCTCAAGTTTTATTATAACAAGACGAAGAATTGAATATTATGTATATTTTTGAATTAAATAAATAAAAAGCTACTTATTAATATTCTCGTGAAGTAAAAACCAACCGATGTCTTCTTTTAAAAAATGAAATCAGTATTATAAATCTTATTGATTTGTTGAACACATAAATTATACATGAATTCAATGAAACATATTAAAAAATGTATTGAAATTTTTAAAAAACCGCAATACCGCGGTTTCAATGCTCTTAAAACCGCAGAACCGCGGTTTTTTAAAAACGCGGTATTTCAGAAACCCTATTTGGCTATGACATATTTTGATAAATAATTCGTTACTACCAACATATACCTGTTTTCTTCAGCCGACGGATGAGGTGTTGAACTCCAAAAATCCATTCCAATTGTTTCGAATATACCCTCGGGTGGTGTGATATACCTGGAGGTTTGGTTCTTCGGATGTTAAATTTGGCACATTTTTCACATGACTTAATATAGTTTTCGATTGTTGACATCATATTGGGCCAGAAATATCGATCTTTTAATTTATGCCATGTCCGTCTTATGCCAAAATGTCCACTTGTTGGAGGATCATGATAAGCAGCCATGACTTTTAGAATCATTGATTGTGGTAGATATGGTAATTTGATGTTCTTGGCACTCTTTCTGGACGCAATCTTGCATAAAAGACCATCGACTACCTCATACGACAATGTGGTTGGATCTTGCTAGATTTCTTTGATTTTATCGGGGATGACTGTATCCTGTTGTTGTTCCATTTTTAATTTTGTAATATCAAAATCAGTTGATGGTGTTGCTGTGGATATCTTACTGATCGATGGCAGAGACGTTGATGGTATACTATTCGATGTTTTTGGATTTATTATTTTATTTCTTGGACGTAGTTGCATTGCAGTTGTGGATAAATGTGGTGTCATTGTTTGAGCTGGCTTTGGGGATTTAGTGTGATTACCAGCTAATGCTATTGTCTTGTTATTGTTATTACTCGTAATTGCTTTAGCTGCTGCTCTAGTAATTACATTAACTTGTGGATTTGCTTCTTCTTCATCGTCAATTAGTGCACCATTCATTCTACCTCTAACGCTTCTTGATGTTATCTGGTCATTGGATGTTGTTGCTGGATATCTTGACATTAAATCCGCATCACAGTTACATTTACCTTTTTTACATTTTAGTTCAACGATATCATATTCACCTAAACCAATTGACCATCTATCCACCCGACCATTTTTGGACGGTTTTTTATGAAAATTACACAACGGACAATGGTCAGTTTCCACCGTATATTCTCGTCCTAATAGATATGATCTAAACTCTTCAATACAACGCACCATGGTTAGACATTCTTTTTCGATGGTACCATATCGTTTCTCCGCCGGATTTAATTTACGTGATAAATAGCTGATTGGCTTTGGACCGTCTTTGGTAATTTGTTCTAAAACGCCACCATAACCAATGTCGGATGCATCTGTTGATAAAACCAGTGGTGATGATGGATCTGGAAATGACAATAATAACGGTTCTGTTGATAAACTATCTTTCAATTATTCATAAGCTTGTTGTTGTTCTTGACCCCAGAAGAATTTTTGTTTCTTGTTAACTTGTGTAATGGGGCTGTTATTATGGAGAAATTTTGAATGAATTTTCTATAAAAACTAGCTGCTCCCAAAAATGCATCAACGTCCTTAATTGATTTTGGTGTCGGTAAATCAATAAGAGCTTTAACTTTATCCATCAAAGGTGTAATACCTTCGCTGTTGAC